AGGAATGAGGAGCAGACAGGCACAGGAGCAGCCTTGGGACTGAAAACCGTCAGCTGCAGCAGGAAAGGGTGTTCACAGATGGTCAGAGGAGGAGGGCTGGTCTTTGCAGACAGTGGCAGTAATGGATTGGAGCTGCAGTCACTGCTGCAGTGCCTGGGTGGATCCGGGGAGATGGAATGCTGCCAAATGTGGAGGCTGGGATACACGATTGGGAACAGGAGTGTTGCCAGCCCTGACTGCTGGGATGAACAAGGGGCTCTGGAGACGCTGCCAGCCTTGCCTGCTGGGGATGCGGTGGGTGTACAGGTGCTCCAGGTCTCTAGGCAGCTCTGGGAGGTCAGTGGAGTCATGAGGAAAGCAGGAGCAATTGAGAACCCACACAGAGGGTACTTTTTGGGCCTGGATTAGAAGGCAGGCTGGATGGAGCGGAGGGGCACTAATAGAGACCATGCTGTGGGTTTGCCCTCTCCTAGAGGCTCTGAGCTGGAGATGTTTGCCTGGGAAAGGCCTCCTGTGTGTGGCAGGGGCATCTTGGGGACTGAACTGCAGCAGTGCTGCACAGGGTGAGGAGGAGCTGTCCAGTACCACCTTGAGGGGCTTGGACATAGTGAGGGGGCAGGGGGGGAAGACTTCCATATTCCCTCATGAGAAGCACTTCCAACAGAAAATGAAAGTGGCTGCTAGGCAGGGAGCCATCCCATTCCTGGCAGGGAATCCTATTTCTCCTGGCAGGGAGCCAGGAGACCTGCATGGTTGGGCAGGGATCTACTGAATACATTCAAGGGGAAGATAAATTCAAGAAGGAAGTTTCTAGAACATAGAAGAAATGGCTGACCACTTGGGAAGAATACAAGAATGTAAGGATGCAACGAGGAAAGCTAAGGCCTCCTTAGGAAACTTGGAAACTTGGAAAGGGAGGTCAAGGACAACAAGAAAGGCTTCTTCAAGTACATTGGAGGTAAAAGGAACTATAGGAAATGTGGCATGAAGTGAGTGCCCTGGTGATGGAGGATACAGAGAAGGTGGAGTTACGGAATGCCTTGTTTGCCTCAGTCTTTGCTGCCAGCTCTCAGGAGTCCCAGACTTTTTGAGACCACAGAGGAAGTCAGGAGAAAGCAGGACTTTGCATCAGTTGGAGATGATTGGGTCAGAGATCACTTAACTAAACTGGACATCCACAAATCCATGGGCCCCGAAGGTGTGCACCTGTGAGCGCTGAGGGAGATGGCAGAAGTCATCAGTAGCAGTCACACTGTTGGAGAAGGCCACCAGATTAGTCAAGGAATTCCTGAAGACATAGTCGCTATTTGATGAAACTGTAAGTTGCATAAATGATAAAAGCTTAAAGAAGCAGAAAAAAAAAAAAAAAAGAACAGAAAAAAAAAAGGAACAGAAAAAAAGAAAAAAAAGTAGACCCTCTGGTAGTTTGCAGCATGACTGTGTCCCAGTTTTAGCCTTGTTCAACTGTTCTTTTCTTTCAAGAACATAATTTTATCTGAGCATCACTAGTGGCTCTGAGAAGACCTTGGCAGTACCCACTATCTCTCACACTCCTACCATTTGCTGCTGTGAAGAGCCTGGTTACATCTTCCTGCTGATTTCTTTCAGGTGTTGGAAAGCTGCTGTTAGGTTCCCCCAGGCCCTCCTCTGCAGTCTGAACAAGCCTGGTTGTCTCAGCCTCTTCCCAGTGCAAACCCCTACGGCACTTCCCTTGTTACAGGCCTCCAGGTAGAGTGTGGCCATCACAACTTGCTGAGCCTGATGTCCAATCAGCTTTTGCCCATCCAGTTGTCCACTCCCTCAGATCACGAAATCCTGATCCAGACAGAAAAGAGACGATAGGAGACAATGTCAAAAGCCTTGCTAAAGACAAGGGAAATGACACACATATTTAGAGGAGGCAATCACATTGGTCAGGCCTGTTTTACCCTCAATAAAAGCATGCTGACCATCCCAGTCCCCTTTGTTGCCTTCACACACCTTAATGACAACTACAAGAGGACTTGCTCCATGATTTTTCCAGGCTTCTTAGAAAAAGTCTGCTTCTCCTGTTTGCTCAATCTCACCTTTCATATTTTTATTCTTCTACAGCCTGCCAGCATGATATCTAATCTGGGCTGATCTGCTTTCTGGAAGCTTTAAAATGACACAATTTCTGTCCCCCTGAGAGATTAAGCAGAGAGCTGCAAACCACCTTGCCTTCTGTGATGTGTGAGGTTGTGTTATCAGAGGAGCACAGACCCAAGCTGAGGAGATATTTCAGAAAACACTGAGCTGCAGCATTGAATCGTGATAAACACCTGAGCAAACCTCTTCAGCATTGTGATCTTTCCAAGAACGAGACTATGTTCCCAGCAGTTTGTCTCTGTGCTGGAAACTAAAACAGCTGCAAAGGAAGACACTATCTTCCCAAGCCAGAAGATATGTTACAAGGTTTGTGACATCTAGAATGAGCCTGTGCAACCACACTACCTAGCACATGGGCTGGGGCATGTCCAGTGATATCATTGTGGTACCAGTGGTGGTGGTATCATTGCTCTGTGCACCCATGCACTTTTCTGTTTAAAATATCAGATCAGTCAGAGTGGATGTGCTTGTGTTGCAGCTTCCCAAGATGATGTTTTTAAAGGTGAGCATTGAGAACATGGACTGCCTCTCTTGGGATGTGCCAGGAGGCATAAGGACATGCTTGAGGCCTCAAGACCCACTCAGACACTGTAGCAGGACACTCTATCTCTCAATATGCCTGCCTCAGTTTCCCTCTATGATTCAACTGCTTTTTGTCTCTCAGTTTTGCAGGCCCAGGCCTGAAGCGGAAAGGTTCCCATGAGAAGGGAAAAGGCCTCACAAACTCTGGTAGCAACCCTGAATGGTACAAACAGAGGCCAAGTTGATGTTCATAACACCAGCTGCTCTCTGGTGTTGAAGAACACGGAGCTCAGCCCAGCCACAACTAGGCCCAAAACAGAGATAAAATAGGAACAGTAGGAGAGAGAAAAACAAAAGTGTTTGCTTGGTGAGAACAAGGCCTTAGTTTTTTTTTTCCCCTACTGTTTTCCTTTCTTCTCCAATGAGAGATGTGGGAGGTATGGCAAAATAGTTAAATGACAGCAGTCAATCCACTTAATTCTATAAAAGCCTGGTGCTGTTTTTGATTTGGAACACTCCTGTGCACTTTCCCAGGAGGTTGCTGGACCTTCTGTCCTCCAGCAGGGACACCTGCCAGAGGGACCGATTCTTCAGAATTACGATCCATCCAAGGCCTGGCAAGGGTAAGAAACATCAACTCTTTCACTGTTTTTATTAGCAAACTTAATGTTAAGTAATTTTTCTCATTAAGCTTAAAGACTATAGAATCCTTTAAAATTGATAATTAATATTTTAGGCCTAGTATAAAACTTGATAATAAGTAAGTTGCTAGCATTTACATGGTTAACCTTTATTTTTTTATCTAACTCTAAGTAGAAAATTCACTGCTTATATATCCTTTGCATTCAAACTTCAACTTCTGTTCAGATCTCCCAATTTCCCTGCACTTTTTACTTGTGCCATCTACTTTAAGGAGTTAAGACCTCAACATTGTATGCAATAAATCTTTATCTATGCAGATACGTCTTGTCTGCTGTCCCGTCCTGTTTGTGACAGACGCTCACGGAGGACTGCAAATATCAGACACCAGCCTGAGCTGTTCTTGTCACATCAGCTACCTAGAGGCATCCCTGGATATGACTGCTCCAAGAATCGCTGCACATCTCAGGTTGGAGGTACCTGGCTGATTTGCTGTAAAGCACAGACTGAGCAGGCATCTCTGCTTTGTGAGCACTTAGAGGACCAGACCCTGGGCATGAACTGGAGCTTAACTTCCATGGAAAAGAAGAAACATCATCTGTCCATTGCCATGGCTGGAGTAGAGTGTGACAGAGTTAGATGGCTTTTCAAAGACTGAACTTCAGCAAGGTGAATCCAGCTACATCCTTCCACTGCTGCAAATGAACGGAAAGATACAGATGTTTCTGTATTTGAGGTTTTGAACATTGTTTATTCAACCATATAAAAAGCTGGACCCTCTTTCCATGACTTTGGACACCTCACCTACAAGTGGGTGCACTGCGTAGGACTTCCCAGTTGCTGGGACAGGTTCTCCAGATCCTCACTGCAACCAGAGCTCCTCAGCAACTGCACATCTGGATGACGGTAACTTATGATTAGGGCAACAACAGGTGATGTATCTTTCTCAATCACTATAGTTAACTTTGTGTAGTAATGAAGAGGTGCATTACTTTGCTTATATTCTTTCCTGCTTAAAACTGGAGTATAATAAGCTTATCTTTTTGACTAAACGCATTGGCCTGTTTTTGTATTATTTTAAAATTTACAGTAAATAATCCTACTGTTTCTGTTGGCATCTGTGTCTTTTTTTTAACCCCATCAATTGGCAAAACAGCAGGTCAAAACAATGTGCTCAGCTACTATATTCCACTGGATAAAGAGAACGTACAAAGTATCCACATGGAGAGAAACAGTTTGTGCCCACCCAAGCTGATTCAGAAGCTGAAATAATACATTTAGAGAGGAGAATAAAGAGATTCTCTTATGAATCACACTCCTACCCCAAAGAAAACTGCTAAGGTAGACTCTGTCACTGCCTGTGCTAGGAGAATTCCATCACAGTAGGTTATCAACAAGAGCAAATGCAAAGCCCTGCACCTGGGAAGGAACAACAAAATGCACCTGTACAGGCCAGGAGATGACCTGCTAGAGAGCAGCTCTGTGGAGAAGGACCTTGGAGTCCCGGTAGACAACAAGTTCTCCATGGGACAGAAATGTACCCTTGTGGCCGAGAGAGCCAATTTGGGTGCATCAGGAGGAGTGTGTCCAGCAGGCAGAGGGAGGTTCTCATCCCCCTCTACTCAGCCCTGGTGAGACCTCACTTGGAGTGTTGTGTCCAGTTCTGGGCTCCCCAGTTCCAGAGGGACAGGGATCTACTGAAGAGAGTCCAAGGGAGGCCACGAGGATGATGAAGGGACTGGAACACCTGCCTGAGGAGGAAAGGCTGAGAGACCTGGGGCTGTTCAGTTGGGAGAGGAGAAGTATGAGGGGGGGAATCTAGTGAATGTCTCTAAATACATGAGAGCTGGAGGTCAAGAAGGCAGGGACAACCTCTTTTCATTTGTGCCCTGTGACAGGATGAGGGGCAATGGATTCAAACCACCAATGGATTCCACCTCAACATGAGGAAGAACTTGTTTGCTGTGAGGGTGACAGAGCCCTGGGACAGGCTGCCCAGAGAGGTTGTGGAGTCTCCTTCTCTGGAGACTTTCCAGACCTGTCTGGATGCCTTTCTGAGTGACCTGCCCTAGTTTTGGTCCTGCTCTGGCAGGGGCATTGGGCTCAATGATCTTCGGAAGTCCTTTCCAACCCCCAACATTCTGTGATTCTGTGATCTTTTGTCATCATTTTTTTGCAGGGACAAAAATTCCTCTGCAAATATCTTCTCCATTTACAAAGACAGAAATGAGGCTGAGGGAACACTGGAAGAAATGAGTGCAACAGAGGTGTTGGAGCTGAAGTTTCTGTCCTTCTTCAGCTGTATAAACACAACCTGGTTCCCTGCACAACAAGAAAAGGGATGATATTACCCAGTCTGGCCATTGACAAGATAGGAAACTGTGTTGCACTAGGAGAATTAGTCAGGTATCTAGGGCCACTGGACTTGCCTTGGGGTAGCCAAGTGGGTGTCTCTATTTCAGTCCAGAAGGAAGTTGGCTCTTTCTGAAATAGAAATCTACCTACTCAGATGACTGTATTGGCTGGACCTCCATTGTCTATTGGGAAACGTGCTTGTGGATGTCTTAATGCAGATATCTTAATACTGAGGTAAATCCCACCCATGAAATTCGTATTTTATGAATTCCACCCTTTTCCAACCCATTCCCAATTATTTTGTACAATACACTTCATAATCTTAAGTGCCCACTGCTAAGACAGGTTCCACACCTTGTCCACCAGGCACCCTCTGAAGAGGGCTTCTTCTGTCCCAGGTGTAGGACTTTGCAGATGACTAGCTGTACTGCAATTACAACAGTCTCTTTTACTAAGTAAACACTATAGGAAAGGCTTTTAGTGGATTTCAGCTAAATCCACTAAGTTCACTCAACATAAACCCTCAGCTGCTTATGTGGGGTCTTTCAAAAGTCTAATTCAAAGGTCTGATTCTAAAAGTCAGTTGGCTAAGAACACCAACTGGAGTCCTGAGCACTTTCCTAGAAAGATCAGGACACGCAAGCCTTGGAGAAGAGAGCTACTTCAGTCCATGACTGAAATAAATACTGACACCTAAAAGCAAAAATGTTATGAGCACTTTAATAATAAAACCAAAAAACAAGCAATAAACTTCAGACGGAAATGCTAATTTCACTCTGCCAAAACATTTGCTTGATACAATCCATGCAGTTTTAACTGTAAGAAATGTTGCTGTTTACCTCTTTCCCATCTGTCTATTGTTTTGTTCATGGTTATATCTTAGTTTTGTTTTGTGGAGCATAGTTCTTAGCATTCTTTTGGCAATAAATACTATGTAAATTTTAAATTAAAAGTTTCAACAATTACTTTGACATTTCCAAAGGAATTCATCCCTCTGAATATATTGTTCATGACCGATATTTCTTTGCTATTATCTTTCCATGTCCCTACAATGAAAATGTTGAAAAATTGTGATAATTATAGAGAGGAAAAAAAAATAAATAATCATTTCAAGAGAATGCTCCCAACCACAGCTTTATCTCATTAAGCCTGTAATTTCTGAACCAGTCATGTCAAAACTCAGTTCTCCTGTCCATCTGCTGAATTATCTAGCAAGCCAAGGACATTCTCTTCCGCAGGTGCATTCAGTTTTTCTTAATTTATTAGTGTTCATTCCCTTGTTTAAATATTCTTTAGTTTAATTGCCCCTAAAAATTTCTATCATCTGCCCATCTCTCCATTGAGCCAGCTCTTTTCAGGGTTTGTGTCCTGAGAAGCCTGGAATTCAGTTGGACCAGAGTAAAACATACAGGGGTTTTTCTATTTAAGATTTTTTTCTTTCTTACATGAAAAAAGGCCTTGAAATTCTTTTCCAATGGCGATGAATATTCCTCCAGTTTCTGTGCATAGTACAACAGGTAAACCCAGTGCTAATTAGAGCAGACACAGGCTTTGCAAATAAAGCCTTTGACACTGCTGTGGGCTGCAGGGACAAGAGAATATACTGTAATGAGAACTATCTTATTCCCAAGTTTGACTCTGGCCACTTGTTGCTTGATCACAAAGATACTTTTACTCTCTGTCTGATTCCCGCCAGGATATAAGCTGGACTATTTTCTTTTAAAAATGTCTTCATTTCCATTCTTCTTGTAATGTGTAATTAAAAAATGACAAACAAAAATTATGCTGCATGTATTCAGCGAAACACCTCTGAGAGTTCCCTAATTAGCTGCACGAGGCTCATTATAGCTGCCAGCATTTTAATGAGCCCCTCGGTGCTACCTCCCCATTACTTTGCAGCTGTGGCACATTCTGGCAAGCTGCCCTGAAGAAATGACAGGCAGCAGCAGGAAGAAAAGTCTCTTGGACTTTTAATGGAGCCCAGTGTGAGATGCGAGAGCAGAAATGTGGTTGGAAAATGTGTTCCCACTGGAGCTCATTAGAGCAGAAACTCACAGACTGTAACTACAGGCAGCACTGAAAGCCACAGACTCCTCCTGTACCAAACTTCCTTTACAGAACTCAGACAGCAATCCTCAGGTGCCAGGAAGGTGGTCCTTTCAGTCAGCAGTCTCCACACACAGCATGTGGAAAGGAAACAGATGTGGACCACCTCTCCAAACATGCTCT